TTTTTTTTTTTTTTTTTTTTATGGTACATAGGAAAAGTTGTTGTTTGAATTTCTGCAACTAACAATAAGTAGACCCAGGGCAGAGGAAGGGTGGGGGCAATAGGTTAAAATTACAAGAAAATTAAAAAAATTCAACTCGTCCTCCGGACTTTTTTTAAAGTTTACGAAATTTAAAGGTTATTTGATAACACCACTTAAAGCTTAATACTAAATACTTTAAGCACTAAATAAATTAAATCCGTTTGATAACATAAAACTCATACTACTTAATATTTTAAGTAGCAAGCCACATACTTATCATTTAATACTGAAAATGTTAATTAATAAAGATTTTACCAATTTCTTATAATGGATAAATATACTCTCACTACTACTATTGTGTTATCGCTACCACCACCAACACTATCCCCACCACCACTACCACCATTGTACCATCGCCGCCGCCACCATCGTCACCACCGCCGCTACCACTACCATTACCACTATCACCATCACTACTATTGTGCCACCGTATCATCACCACCACCATTGTCGCCATCACCATTATCGTCACCGCCATTATGTCGTCATCACCACCACTACCATTATGTCACTGCCACCACCACCACCATTATCACCGGCACCACCACTACCATTGTCACTGCCACCACCACCACCGCTGTCGCCACTACCATTGTGTTGCTGCCACTATCACCATCGTCATCATTGTCGGCACCACTATCATTGTGCCACCGCCACCACCACCGTCGCCATCACCATTACCACCACCATTGTGATGGTGGTGATAAAAATAAGACAGTTGTGGAAAGATGGATAAAGAGAAAGATAAAATTAGAATAATAATAATTTTCAGATTTCAGTTTCTTATATATTTCAAACAGTTTAATTAAATTTAATATTTAAATTTCAGTTGATACCAAATAATTTACAAATTAAAAAATTCAGTATTCAGCACTTTAAATTCAACATTCAGTTTTCAGTATTCAACTTTCAATTTTATCAAACACCACCTTAATCTCAGAATTCTTTCTTTACTTTCTAACTTATTCTCTTCTTTTTACACAACACACAAAGTTATCAAATTCATCCTCTTCTAAATTCAATTATCTAGATATAAATTGATATGTTTAATCGGTTACCCAAGTTCGAATATGCTATTATATTTCAAGAATTTAGGTTTAGATATACCAACCTAATTGTGAGTTGGTTTGATTTATAAAAACACATGCACACACGTGTATATATAAGCTTTAGTTTTCGATTAAATTTTTAATATTTAATGGATATGAATTGTAAAGAAGAAATCCATTGGATAATCAGATCAAATTCAAAATAAAATTTTTAAATCCAACTAGAATTCGAATCACTCGAAATCTAGCGGTTGACATGCCTATTTATAATTTGTTTATAGAATGATTTATTAATTAGCAGTCTCAATTAGCAGGCATTGGAGGACTCATCAGAGATGACCAAGGGCTCTGGAAGCTGGATTTCATCGGGAAGAAAGCTCCAACCTGCGAGGGATTCACTAAACTGCTAATTGAGACTGACTCCATGGAAACTTTCGAGCTTCTCACCAACAGTGTGAATGATGACCACTCTTTCAAGGCTTTGATTGCCAATTGCAAACACCTTATGGGTGTCCACTAGATCCCAATTGCCCACACCTTGCGTGAAGAAAACCAATGCACTAACATTCTCGTGAACATGGGCAAGCAGAACAACTTTGTGGAGTTCGTTTCCCTCCCCACCAAGCAGAACAACTTTTGTCGAGTTCGTTGTCCCCCTCCCACCAAGTTCTGCAAACTGTAAGGGCAGACTTTATTAGGGGTTGTGTTAACCCTTTTCATTTCTAATGCACGGAAAAAAACAAAAACATTTTCTATGAAAATTATTTTAATATTAATACTTTCTATAAAATAACTTTCATATAACTTTTCTTAATTAGGTTCTATCTTTTTATATGTAGTTTCTGCATGAAAAACTTTTAAAGCTGCAAATCAAAAAATTATAATGAAAAATTACATTATAAAGACTTTAAATGACAAAACTCTCATTTTTGCAAGACACTACAAATTTTGCTGATTCGTTTTTAGTCGTTCTCTTCAATTTGATGTTTAGCCCCACTAGAAATGAACTCTGGCTCTGCCCCTAGCAGACCCTTATGATCTTAATATTTTTACACACGGCCGAATTTGAGGTTTTTGTGCAACTTTTGTCTACCTAAGCAAGCATATAAATCATACCTTCTAGCGATCGTTTTGGTAATAATACTCCTTCCTTACAAGTCTATTGAGCACCGTCTACAAAGATGGGAGGAATAGAGTACTCATCAAGGTATTTTTAGTGAGTAATAAGCAAATGCATTTCATCTGCCGCAAAAGATGATACCTAGTGCACACGGCTCCTGCTATAACAAGATATAAGTGAGAAGCAATCCTGATATTCGAGAACGTCAATACCATTTCAATCTTAGCTCTTGGAATTCGAAGTTCTCATTAGACAATTTAGCTGAAACTAATATAACTGAGAAGCATTAAAAATGGTTATGGAAGAAAAATCTGATAAATCCAAGGCCACCAAAATAAGCACTCATCTCCAAAGCCTACTTATGAAGCCTTTTTTGTCTTTTTTCATCCTGTTCTTGAGCGAGGGGAACTCAATTGAATCATATGCAAGGTCCCGAACGATTGAATGGCGAGGAATTGCTGGGAACGCTGGTGGGAAGACTTCAATTCGAGGAATTCCTTTCGTATTGGCGTCAGGAACCGTGGATTCATATGTATCCAATTTATCGATAAGAAATTTCTCCAGCTGAAACAAAGTTAAAATCAGCATATGAGACAAATTTTACAATATGGAAACATAGACAAATCTCAATATCATTCAAAATATTCTTCAAAAGCATCTCTTTCAGCTGTTCTAACGGGCTGCTTAAATAATCTGTATTTTTCTCTCTTCTTCCTCTGGTGAGGTAGATGAGTGTAAAATACCTTTATGCTACAGTGTTACTATACGGCCTAATTTTTTGGTATTTACAAATCTCTAAGATTGTTAATCTAAGTCCGTCTCCTTTTCCTTCCCCCCCTCTCCCCCCCCCCT